ACAATCTATTACCTACTGGAGAAAAAGTTTTTAGGTGTAATGAATTGTACATAATTTTGGGTCTATCTTTGATGAGAAAAATAGGCATACAATTAGGAAAAATTTTCTTCTCATCAATAGCGAATGAGAAACAAACATGCTACTTTGTTGTAACGTGAATAAGTGATGATAATGCCACATATCGAAAAGTACGAAGCCACTATCTCTAGGATTCAAAAAACCATTTACATATTCTGCAAGTGCCAAGATTTAGTCATGGTCCACGACTCATGGATTTGTGGTCCTCTCCAGATCTATTTGATGTCAAATATAGTAACCCTGGACAGAATATTATTCCTAGCTCCTTTGACTTTCCTAAAACGATATGTTCGGGTTTAATTATGGATTCATGTGGATCTATCAATATAATTTTTTTAGTTTTAAACCGGTTCAATTCTCTCAGAGATTTGAAACAAACAAACCCTAGCCACATAGCCACATAGCAAAGAGGAAAACCCAAGGGAGCCGTGAGAAATCAGAAAGGTACTGAGGATTTCGTCTGGAAACTCTCTGCAGACGTTCTTGTTCTAGTCGTTCTTGTGCTATTATAGTTTTCCTTCCTTTTGGAAGGTTTGTCTAATTGTTCTCTGTTGAGTCTATCGCTTCTATTTTGGCTCCATGATGCCTGGATCTACGTTTGGGCTTTCTTGCCCAGTTGGATTTGTGGGGCGTTCGCCTTGATTAGTGTGAAGTTGTTGCGAATCTCTCTAGGAGAGGTGAAGTTGTCCGCGGTGTTGGCCAATTTTACAATGTAGAGTTGGAGCTGGTGAAGCTTGTGTTGGAAAATATTAGTATTTTGATTTATTTGAATGTTTGGTTTTCTGGGCTTAGCCCGTTAGAATTAGGTTTTGTTAGAAATTAGGGTTAGTTTATTATAAATAGGGTGCTTTGTTATTCATTAGAAAATAAGAAGTTAGTCACAATGTAGCCTCTTAGGGTTTTGTAGCCGTTTCGGCATTCTCAGTTTGTTTAATAATATTTCTATTATTTTGTTAGTATCGTTCGTTGCACACTCTGATATTCAACTTGGTATCAGAGCAGGTTTCATCCTTCGTGATTTAATCTGTTTTGGGTTGGTATCCGTTTGCTTGTGTCTGTTGTCGTTCATGTTCAGATTGTCTAGTTGTTGTTGACAGTTTGCAAGGAAAAAAAGTGTGTTAATTTTTTCAGTTGGTGTTTAGGCCACACGAGTTGTTGGCTTGTTTGAGATTGTTTTGCGACCGTAATTCGAGTGCTTAGAATTGTGACCACTCGAGTGATGGTATGTGTGTTTATTTGTTCGTTGCTACAATTGAGATATGGAAATCTCGTCCCTTTAGTGACGTGTTCCTTCCATACTCTCAACTCTAGCCAGTTTGCCAGCCAGAATCAAGAATCAAGTCAAGTCAAGAATCAAAAATCAAGAACCAGTTTGCTAGTCAAGTCAAGTCAAGTCAAGTTTGCCAGTCAAGTCAAGTCAAGTTTGCATGTCTGTCTGTATGTCCGCCTAATGGAGCCAGTCTGCATCTGCTTGTTTGCAAACCCATGTCGTATACCGCCATGAGTTTGACAGGGGGTGTTGGAAAATATTAGTATTTTGGTTTATTTGAATATTTGGTTTTCTGGGCTTAGCCCGTTAGAATTAGGTTTTGTCAGAAATTAGGGTTAGTTTATTATAAATAGGGTGCTTTGTTATTCATTAGAAAATAAGAAGTTAGTCACAATGTAGCCTCTTAAAGTTTTGTAGCCGTTTCGGCATTTGTGTGGCAAAAACTCAATAAGAGTTGTCGACAACTCTCTTGGCGAGATTTTGTATTCTGGGTATAAGCGCGTTTGGTGGGAGAGATTATTTTTTGTGAGGTCAATGGTCCACACCTGAGTACGAAGGTGTATTGTTTGAGTTTATTGGATCTAATTATTAAATGGTTCTTTGGGATCATGAGGTATTTTGGAGTCACGATGTCCTTCTTTATCATACACATATAGAAGTATGATATTTTCCTTATTCCACTAGTATTGTTTTGAGAATTTTTAAATCTCGCATGATCTTGCACTATTTGATGCATTGGTTTCTATGGATCTTCCTTCACTTCCAAATTCTTGTAATATTTTCAACAAGGGTTGGTTGAGTTGGTAAGGATCGTTCTATTTGCCAGACCAAGGTCTACGTTCGAGTAGGGGTGGGCACGGTTTGGTTCGGTATGGTTTTGAGTGAAACCGAAACCAAAATCGAAATTTTTTGTGGTTCAGTTCGGTGCGGTTTTGAAGCCAAAACCGAAATAAAACCAAACCGTTTGGTTTGGTTCGATGCGGTTTCAAACGGTTTCGGTTTGGTTTTTAAAAAAAATGTACAATTTGCAATTTAACAAATTAATAAGCATTTCCCAATAGCAATAGGAAAAAGACATTTGTTATGTAAACAATTAGCATGTTGAATGCAATTGTGATGTTAAAACATGTTTGTGCAACAAAAGGGTGTCCCTTATAATGTTTATCATAAAACAAGTTGAATAAATTTGAATTTATTAAACGTGAGCGAAACTTTGATACTAAAATATGTGATATCATGCTTCAAATGAGTGGACTTCATTAGATCATTGTTCGACTCTTGATAACAAGATTAGTCCACCCTTGTACATATATGTGTGTGTGATGGTATAAAATAACAAAGGTCCTTCAAGTTAATGAACGAAAGAAAGTGATGAATGATATTATATAGAAAATCAAAAAAGAGGTCCTTCAAATTTTTTCCCTCACATAGAAAACGGTTTGGTTTTGGTTTTGACTTTTGAAAACCGCACCGAAATCGAACCGCACTGAAAATATTAATAAACATTTAACTAAATGTCCATATTATATTTCATGTTTAATTGGTTGTTTTTTAGAATCTATACACTTAATATGGGACTCAACCACATTAGAATCCCATCCGTTTTCAAAAGCCAAAACCAAAACCAAAATCGTTTGAAAACCAAACCAAACCGTTTTCTATCTGACCGGCAACAGTGCGCCAAGTGTCCCATCCGTTCCTGAAGGAAAAAATTTGTCCTAGCTAAGAACATGTGAAAACATTTGAACAGATATGCAAACTAATAACACATTAAAGTAGGCATGCATTCAAAAACAATTCTAAAACTCATGACTTTCAAAGCCTAGTGAATGGTGAACCACAAGACTCCTTAACAATATTAAAGAGAAGGAAAGATTTAGAGATTCATTACCCTTGAAGCTCATCCTTGTTTACACAAGGGATTCACCCAAGTGGAGGGCCTTCAAGTCACCTCCTAGCTCCTTGGATCTTCCTTGTGTTTTTCTTCCTTTTGATGCTCCTTTGTTCCTTGAGGATGTGAGAAAAGGATCTCCAAGAACACCAAAGATTTGGTGTCTCTAAGTCCCAACACTAAGGATGAGGTGTGAAGATGAAATGGATGACTTAGAGAAGAAAAGATTGCTAGCTAATTCTTCCCTAAGTGGCCGGCCTCCTTTTAGAGAAAAAGAGATAAAGTGTTTCTCTTCTTTGCCTCAAGAAAATCCTAATGAGAAAAAACTATAAAGTTGACTTTATACTACATCACATGTGAGTGGCAAACTTGTAATTAATTCAAGTTTGCATCCACTCACCCTTATGGTCGGCCTTGTCTTTGTTATTGGGCTAATTGCCCATTTTGTTTTAGTTGTCATACAACTTAAACATAATGGGCCTTGTGGACCAAAACACTTTTAGGCCCCGAAACCCAAAACCAACTTAAAAGCCCAATACGAACCTTTCGTAAAATTAATTAACTAATTAATTAATCTTGACCATTCTCAATTAAACCATTTAATCGCTTATCCATCTCATTTATATTTCTTCACTTTCATCCTTACTCGGTGTATGATCCATTAGGTTCCAATTAGCGAGGCAGTGGGCGATTGTTACTCTTAACGATCGATTATGAATTGAAACAACATTTCAATTCTCCCTTTGTTGAAGATTAGTGTTTGCTAATCTTCAGGGCTTCCACAAACCATGAGTGACACCTAGCAGTATGTCATGGCAACCCAAGCTAAGTAGAAATGGTTGGAGAACCTATCCAGTTACAATTACAATGCAACACAGTCCTTCTCTAATACAATACTCTTAATCACATTGTTTGAGTGATAGTTTGTTTCATGTCTACTATCCAATGTGATACTTCTTTATATGATTCAATTGAATATGATTTGGAACAAACTTCCTAAGTCATATTCATATGCTTTGGCCAAAGACTCCCGAATCATATCTTAGAGTATTCTCCCACCATTATGGAAGGTTAGAGATCCCTTGTTGTACATTCATATGCCTACATGACTAGATATCTTGACCCCAACAATGCTATGGACACTCTCGATGGAATGTCTTTGACATGATCAAAGATCAAGGACCTAACCATTAGACATCTATGATGCCTCAGGTCAAAGGACTATTTTGCATATTGCAACTAATGAGTTCTTACATGACATGTATGTTCGAACTCTCTTTTGATCGTTGTTCAGTGTACTCGACTACCTTTTTGAGCACCTACGTGTTTGTCTTAGTGTCCAACACTAAATGACTTGAGACTAGTCATACTCACGCTTGAGTTGACATAACACATACTAACCTTAGCGGATTGTCAATGCCCAATTGGCAATCTTATGGCTATGAACGTTTTAGGAATGAAAATAAGAGAAGGGTCTCGTTAATCTAACTTACTTAGATCACTTCTCTCTCAGATTAAATACTTTCCTTGGATTCCCTTATTGCTTAAACACATGATACAATAAATAATGATTAACAATAAGATTTGCCCTTTATTAAACATATAATAGTTTAATACAATAAGTATTCCAAAAGATATTACATTAAATGAGTGGCTTTGTGGACATACTTCCAACAGTTCCAACCTGCACCACACCCACCCCTCCCCACTTCCCCCTCACTTTCTGCAACCCTTTAAATACGAAACCGCACTTCTCCTTCTTCATGTCCATTCGCTTCCTTTTATTAATTAATTTTTTTTTTAATTCTCCTCTGGAAATGGAAAGTTCGACCTTAACCGGATTGCTGAAGCAGGTGGCGTCGGAGTTCCAAAAAACGGAAAGTTCAACTTGACCCATGCACGGTTGCAGGAGCTCGTCAACCACGCTGCCTCCCTGTTAATATCCTTCAGCATCGCCCCTAACAACATCGTTGCAATCATCTTCCCCAACACCGTCGAGGTACATATCGCATCGTTTTATTTTATACCGTTTTCTCCGTAAACAAACAAGTTTTTAAATTAGATTAAAAAATTCTGATGGTTTTTTTTTCTTTTCTGTAGTTTGTTGTGATGTTTTTGACGGTGATTCGATGCCAAGCGACAGCGGCGCTGCTAAACGCAGCGTACACAGTGGAGGAGTTGGAGTTCAACCTCTCTGACTCAGAATCGAAGCTCTTGATCATGCTGGAAGAACCGATTCATACGGCCCAAGCGGCTGCTTCCAAGCTCAACATCCCTCATGTGACCACCAACCTGTCTGCCACCGCCAACCCCGTTACTCTCTCTTCTGCCGCCAAGGGGATCCCCGACTTGGTCTCGCAACTCGTCAACGACCTCTCCGATATGGCGCTCTTCCTCCACACGTCGGGAACCACGAGCCGACCCAAGAAAGTCCCCTTGACGCAACTCAATTTGGCCTCCTCTGTCCAGAACATCAAATCGGTCTACAAAATCACTGAGTCAGACTCGACGGTTATCGTCCTCCCTCTATTTCACGTGCACAGATTAATTACCGGGTTACTAAGTTCATTTTCCGCAGAAGCTGCCGCGACTCTCCCAGCCGCAGTCTCTCTCGCTTGGCGGCTCCTGTTGGTGATGAAGGAGATGAGGGATTTGAGGTTATGGAGGCAGGGAGTAGCACAGAAGAAAGGAACAGAGATGATAAACAGACAAGACTGCAATCGGGGCAAAATCGGAAATTTGTTGTTTGGACCATTTTGATTGGACTAGTTTAATATTGGGTTTTGTCTTAACCATTAAATAAAGTTTTTATATGGTTTTTTTTGTTAACATTCAAAATTTTCAAGTCCTTATCATTAGTTGTACTTAAAAAAATCACAAAATACATAAAAAAATTATTCATCATTAAAAACTAATATCAAAAGAGGATAGATATATAAACATTACTTAAATATTATACGTCTCACGTTTTTAGACGCAAATTTACTAAATGTTTGTTGTCAAAAGTCTAAGATTGAGAGTGAAGAACAATAAAACTTGATGATCAAGAGAGTAAAGAACAATAAAACTTGATTGACAAGTATAATAAATTCAACAACGACAGTTGTTTCTTTTGTGTTTTTTCTAAAATCAACATCACACTAACGAATCGAATATTAAAATAATCCATTGAATAATAAATTATTGAAAAATAAAATACAAATTCAAAGTTCTAATTACCTTAAAATACAATCTTCAAGACCATGTGATAGTTGATTTAAAATTTCGATAGAAATGGAGAGATTGGGAAGTTGAAAGAAAAATAGATTGCAAAGGAACTTGAATTTTATAACTTTATATGCATTTGGACTATTGGATTGTGAGTAAATTTGAAAAACAAGAAAAACTTAGTGACTAATAATGCAGCTCAAAGTTTTGAACACAACACCCCAAAGAAAAAGGAAGCCAAACATTTCCCCTGCACCAACAAATGAATTATGATATTTCTTTCATTTTTTTTTAATTTATATGCTATTTACGATTTTGGGGGCCTTAGACAGGCGCCTACATGGACTACCCTCAGGGCCCTAAGGTTAAGACCCCATCTGTAAGTCTTTAAAGAAACTTGTAGTATGTCATTTCTCTTGTATGGGTTAGCCTCCTTTCACCCAAAACTTTTTGTTACCGAAAAAAAAAAAAAATTCTTGTAATATTTGTGATTATTATTTTATATTTTTAAATTTATGCGTGCAATTCTCTTGGGATCGTAGTTTTCATTTGATTACAATCTTTTGGTCCTTTAATGAATGAAATATGTCGTTTCCTTTCGAAACAAACAACGAAAAAAAAAAAATTCCTCTCACATATTTTGGGTCTCTCTAGTTGTTTATAGCTTGAGGCAATGTTAGGGTTTTATCATTATCGTGCTTGTTTCTAATCATCATTAATGGCATCTTGGAAGATAATCATTTATAAACTGTGATTACAGTAAGCTTTGTTATTTCTAATAGTTGTTCAGCTGAACAAGCCGTCTGTAAGTCTATAACGGAAATGGCAATTTCATCCATTAAAATCTAGATCTGTCTATATTAATGATTGATTAGGATCTCATTATAACTAGTTTGAGCTGACTTTATACAGTACCAAACATAATTCATTTATATATTATAGAGTAATGCTATTAAAAACCTTACCCACATATATATATATATTTTTTTTATGAACATATTATGCGTGAACGTGATTAAATTACAAAATCATCATTCAATTAAAAAGTACCATAGAATAATTCTTGTCATATATCTGCATTCTTTTGTAGTGCCAAGGCTCCTGGCCTATTCATATAGTCCTCGATCAAACTGGCCTTTGCGATCATCATTTTTTATTTTTTTTCAAACGATACATAATCTACATGAAATTGTTCTAAATTATACAGAGGAAGGGAATTTGAACACAGAACAAAATAGAACAGGAGGAAGGCTGTATCCACCATACTTATGCTTTTGAGACTATCATTTAGTTAGGTTAAAGATGCTTACACGAACTCATTGAAATTTGACTAGTATAATTGAAGGGTTAGACAAAGCACTTCAACTTAAACTAAATGTGAATTAGACTCTTAATTTCCACAAGGAATATATAATTTGAAAACCCCAAGCCATAAAAGTTTAAATATGATTCTTCCACTATTACATAAGGGATGTGCTATCCAAATACCCCTTAATTATTAATTACAAATGCTCCTTGCATGCATAATAAATAATGTTGAAGAAAAAAGTGGAAGTTGTTCAGTAGTGGACTATATGGATATAATACTTAATTTTCCAGTGTCTCCATCCCTAAGCATATTTTGCCAAGGCATTTTAGTACAACTAAGATATATGATCTAGTGACATCAGTGCTGAAGTATTGCAATCTAAACAAGAAAGGAAGTGAAATGAGCTGGACAATACGCTGAGTTGTACACTTAGTAGCTAAATTTTATATCCAAACCAAAATAATTAGTGGCCCTTGAAGACAATGGAGAAGGGATCAAGACTACTAAATAATAAGGAATTCTGCAAGTTTTTATTGCCTCTTTGTTAATTATATTATGTCAATTACTGTAATCATAATCATCAACTATTATTGGGCCAGGCTTGCAGCCATCTCTAGGTAGTCAGGCGGAGGAGGTCTCGAGTTCAAATTGAACAAAAGTTGTTGCGCCATTCATATGTCTAGTGATTTTTCTACAATGAGAGGTCTTATGTTCGAATCTCGAGGATAGTAAACTTAATACCAATTTATTCTCTCATCCCTTAGTGTAAATATATCATTGTATATATAAATATATATATATATATATTACCGAAAAACTAAGCAAACATATATTTAGAAGTCGTATAGATTATGTGTAAGTATCCATTAATTAAACTGAAGAGAACTACAATTATGTATCAATAACCAATTGTAGTTGTAAAGTTTAAAGTTTTAGTGGTAAGAATAATACTTATATTGGAAGTTAATCTTCCACTATAAAACAATTGAAATATAAAGAGTAGCTTAATTACGTGTGATATCTATTTTTTTTTTTTTTTTTACAATGTGACATTTAACTCTCAACACTGCACTTTATACTCGCACACAAAGGTTGGACTCTCATCCTCTGGCTTTCCCCTTACAGTTAACAAGAAAAGTTGATTCTAATAATATTAGCAAGAGACAAGAGATCCATGTTGATGACTCAAAGTGTCATCAGGTCGTTTTTAGTTGCTGCCACCTCTAGAGAAACCATGTTAATTATATAGTTTAATAGTTTTCATAAAATATCTGGTACATAAGGTCATTCTTTGGTTTGTTGTCATATTTTAAGTATAAAATATTAGATTATCTCTAATCCTTTGGCCCCCAGTAAAAGAAAAAGAAAAAGAATGAGAATTGTATCTAATTTTAAATATTATATCCTGGCAAAGAATATTACAAGACTAATAATTAAGAATTCATTCCCTTCCATACCCAATAGAATTTTTTTTTAATTAATTAAGTTTCCCCTAGTCCATAATAAATAAATTAAGCAAACTAAGCTTGTTTAAAAATCTTGTGACATTCGGGGACCCTTGCCCCAGAGTGTGTTGGTGGCCATTGCCAACTGGCATTGACATATTTGAAATGGTGACATCGTGACAAGCTCTATGGATTATGGGATGGAAGTTCCATGTCTTGTAGTACAAGTTATACAACTGTGTCAACTAACCAACATTGCAAGTACAGATTGTACTGTGCAGTGGCATTTCTTCTTTTAACTTCGATTACAAGGAAGAGTAATGTTGAATTGCCCATACTTATTGTTGAGAACGAGTGTGGGAGGGACTGTTTTGGAAACGATAACTGTTTTATTAGAACATTGTGAAAAAATATGAATTTTAAAAAGAGCGTTCTAAATTAAAGTTGTAGCATTCTTAAAAATAAAAAGACCCAAAAGCTAAAAACAATGCCAACTTGGCCAATTCAATATACCGTATTGACAAATTCGTGGACATGACAAACACAAAAAGTAGCAAAGGAACGCAGCCAACGCTTGATATCATCTATTACCAAACTCAATGAAGAAACACCACATAAGATGACTGAACCACCACTCCAAAGTCAAAATATCTTGGATCCTGACAATTAGAAATTTAATCACTTAATAGCCCGCCACATGAAAGTTTATGAAGAGCAAAACCATTAATAAAACTAGCAAGGACACCATTTGAAATTGGCATTTTGATTGTAATTGGCATTTTCCTAATCCGAAACCTCGGTGTGTGAGTTGAGTTTTAGCTATTAGAATTGTTTCAAGCTATTCCAATTGAAGATAAATATCAACGCTCAAATCAAACCGATGATTATTGTTCTACACTAACTATCATAATCTCAAATTTAGATCGATAAGTGAGACTTAAACCTCCAACCTCTTCTCTCTCCCTTCTCTAGCCTTTGTCACACAGCCTAAATTGCGTTTCTAGTAAGTTAAAATCAGTGGGGGAATATGACTCTTTTGACGTTTTATAATTTTAGTACAAGGCCTTTTACTTTTTAGATATTGATAGTCATTAGACTCATTACCTACATTAATCAATAACTTGGGTCAATAACTTGGGTCAATATTTTCATATGGATCTCGCAATTATTTATACGCAAAACAATTAATAAATCAATTAATGATTTTGTAATGTAGATGTTTGGTTCAAACACAACGCCCCTTGTGGGAGTTAGTTTCTCAGATGTTTTAGAGGCTTGACACTTGAGCCTTCAGTCACGCTTGGTGAATCTCTTGATTGTTGTTTGAAGGTGTGTCATTGTTTGCTATACCAACAGAAAACATGTATAAGTTTTAGACTTTGTTATGTATTCGACTTGTCCCACAAGTAATTTAACCTCTCAATCAAACAATTAGGTCAAAAGTGGGGTACTGATGCCTTGCTGATTAAGGACGTTTAATTCAATGTTATATTAATGGTAGCCAAGACAAGATAAACTGGTTGTATTCCAGCACTTGAAAATTAATATCACCAAGAGCAATTTCATTCGTTCTAAAAATACTTCTAAACAAGTCCTAAGACTACAACATTTTAACAAGTCGAAAGGTCTTTGGGCCAAGCATTCTTCATTTCTCCTACAATAAAGGCCCCAATATCTTCCCTTACGAACTTTTATTGGGCCGAACCTCTCAAGCCTAATGATATTTTCTTTTAAATGTTTTTAAAATGGTTGACTTCGATCAGATTTTGGCATAAATGCAACAAAAAGAGAAGATTGTGTGGTTAAGTAATAATCCAGGTAAGAAAATGTGTGAGAATTACTTTTTGCAATTCAATCAAATCCCATGTATTCCATAAAATACAGAAATCCCTACAATCTGCTGGGCTCAATAGATGATTACAACAAAATTTCTGCACTTAACCTGCTTCTCCAATTCGACTTCACACAGATGCAAAATGAAAAATGGCAACGAGAGATCATGGACAAAGAAGCTAATCTTTAAAACATTTCACTTTGATCAACCCCGAAATGTAAATTGCTACAATCTGTTTATACGTTTCACTGACAACATGAATGAAGCATGTCCAGACCAAAGAAAAAGAAAAAGAACATTTTGTTGCAGGATCACGACAGGGACCTGAGGTCTGCGCTTAAGGGAAGCATACTACGCACCTGAATTTCACCATACCATATATGAAATTTACCGCTGCTGCTCATCTTCAGGCATCTCCTCACCAAGACCCCGTTGCACTAATCTGTAATACAAAATACCCATAGTCGCCAAGCATGCCCTGCACAAGTTTGTGAAACATTTGCATTAGTAGACTGCAGCTTGTTTTACATGCTGTATTTCAAGCACTGCTATACAGTGTATTAACACTGCCTTCACGTCTAATGAGTTCTATTAGCATAATAAAATCAGCAGAAGCAAGGAAACGGGATCCAGAAGAAGAGGAGTTCCGATTGACCCAAAAACAACTTAACCTCCAATACACAGGGCGAGCATGGCACGCACTTAGACGAGTGGCCCCACCCTCCTTACCCACCGTAAAGAAGATTCAGATTATTTCTGTTTCCAAATTTGTATACCCGTGTTTTCTACTTTCTTAGCCTACAAGAAGAATTAAGTAAACAAATATAGCGATGACGAAAAATGGGGATGCACGGACATTACATGATTGCTATAACAAGTAGGATTTTTCTTGGATCCATTCTTGATGATTTTTTACTTCGGGGACGACCTTCTGGGACATCATTTTCAATCGATCCATCTTTGCGCTGGGGTAAAGTCACTGGTAGAGTTGGCAACGCACTTGACCAGAATGGAAGCAATGCTCTAAGAAACTTATGTCGGAATGGGCCTACCATAAAAACCCAAAACAAATTAATTTTGCGACACTAGTGTGTCAATTTCATCTAGCAAACACCAAGCAAGAGGAGACATAATATTAGTAAATGCTAAACTATAACTTTTGTCATCAAATTTCTATAGTCTATTTTCCAATTTTTGTAATTGCGTATTCCATTTTTTTTTTCTTCAATTGGAAAACTGTGGTTCTTCCATCCACCACAACTGTAATTTAGTTATAGACTAAAAATTTGGCATGTATGTGGCAAGAATGGCATTGCATATGCTATGACTTACACTGACATCATATACTCGGTTAATGTGCCACATTAGTTAAAGGTGCCAAACCAACATATTTAATAACAAAGTTGTAACTATTGTTGATAAAAGAAGGGTCTAACTATACATTGTCTAATAACATTGCTTCAACTAAAAAGAATTAAAATAAACAAAAGAAGGGTCCAATTATACAATTGGGAAAGAAAAAAACAGACAAATTGATACTTAGGCAAAACTTGAAGAAACAAAGGTGTATTTTCGCCTAACAGAATTATTACAAAACAGTTCTGATCAGAAATGGCTTTACTCATCATACCAAGTACTATACTGTAAATTTAATTAACAATGCCACAATAAAGAAAATATCATGACTTGAAAATTGACACACACACGCGCACACACAAAAAACTTTCTACTTACCCCTTCGTGAATATTTTTTATGATTCCCATCTTCATCATCAGCATAATATGAAATTTCAGAGTTTTGTCGCTCAACTTGGAATGCACCCTTTCGTGTCGTAGCACCGGGCTAGATTTCGTATCCACAAGCAAAATGAAATCATGACGCAATAGAAATAAAACATAAGAAATATATCAAGGTGCACACACATGACCACAAGTCAAATGACACATATAAAGAAGGTAGGGATTAAGTTTATTAACTAATTAATTCAGTAAATAACAAACATTTGGCCTTACCGGACTCATGCTTTTCACATAATTCCCTGCTGAAGTAGGACCTTCTATCTCCACTATGTCTGTCACTGGAAGTATAGAAGGTCCTGCTCCAGTTGTAGCCGAGAAATCAATTATGCTAGGTCCATCTTTTCCTGCGGATGAGCTAGCATTATTGTCCCTTCTTCCATTCAAAGATGCATTAACAAGTGGATCTGAGGAAAATGCAGGAGGAGGACTACGGGATTCTGTCGAAAATGAAACAGGCTGATTTCCAAACAAGTTCTTTTCCAAGCCAGTCTGCACGACAGCAGAAAAATCTGCTCACATTTAAATACTATAAAGGACAAAAGCAAAGGAACAACTGCAACACTAATGCGAAATATGCCTCAAACTTGGCACAACAACCAATGAACAAATACCAAACTATACAACCCTTCATGAAGTGCAAGGAGCACCTTCCAACAGGTCTTTGGCCCATAAAAATACACATAAATCAGAATTGAAAATGCAGTCATGTAGTTATGCTTTGCCTATGCCAGACTTCGACCTAGTTTGGGAGTGAGGTGCTTAAAAAAAAAGCACCCATGAAAAAAAGCTGTGAGAGTTTTAGGTGTTTGGTAAACTGAAAAAAAAAGAGCTTATTTTGGAAGCTGCTGTGAGAATAAGCTGAAATCAAAGGAAAAAGCTGAAGCTGCTATTTGCAACTTTGGAAAACTAGCTTTTTTTCAAAGCACACGGAGCTACAATGCTTCTTTAACGAAAAGACCCACTATTAGACTGCTTTTTTTTCCAAAAGCACTTTTACAAAAAAGTTTACCAAACACTCTGCTGATTTATTTCACAGCCGCTTATTCTCACAGCACAACCGCTTATTCTCACAGCAGCTTTTTTTCAAAGCACAGCAATACCAAACCAGCCCTTCAAAGGATTAAGTAGTCTTTAATTAATTAATTAATTAATCTATTGCAGAGTATTAACAATTGAATACACTTACACTTTTTTGTATTAATATCATTCTTAAAAGTTGTTTTCGTCTTTATTCTAAACTCTACGGTTAATGTGTACTCATTACTGAAAGAACCACTTCCAACTCACCAAATTACACCCTTCAAACCTATTTACCAAGAAGCATCAAAATCAGTAGTGCGACATAGGATAATACATCTGCAACCATGTACTCAAAACACGTCTATGCTAGGGGAGAGAGTCCTCTGCATGTTCCATGTTCCAAATTTCCAAACAAATCTGATACCTCCTAGTATTTGAAAGATATCTAATAGCTAACTTAATTTCACAGTCTAGTATCAAACAAATAACAGTAAACCCAGAGCCAACCTGCGCAACCTGTTTCTCTTCACATCATATCTCTATTTAGATCAAGTTGACAATGACTATGTTACAATTTTAGCAGTATTACAGTGAAGACTAATAGCTACCATTAACACTAAGATTCAGCATTTTCATATCATTATTATACTGCAATAACGTTCTATTCTGTGATGCAACAAACACCAAGTATGAAGCAATATTAAGATTTGGTAATCAAATTAGCATTAAATTACTTATTTTATCACAATCTAATTGTCAAAACCAAGCCTTGCCTGCATGATAGCTTCCTTCAACTTTGAATGAAGGCGGGATGCTGAATCTTTTACATTCTTGGGAGGCCATATCTGCACCAACATATAACCATGTCAAAGAGTACCACACTAATAAAAGCATGTCAGAACATAAATTCTAGATTCATACACTGAACAATGTAATTCTAATTTTAATAAAGACAATACAACAAGAAGGCAAATCTTACCGATGTGGAACATGTAGGACAAACATATCCAGCAGGTGCAGTATGCGACGGGAAACTCTTGATATGTGAAACCAGGCAACTTGTATGTATTACATCTATATGAACAACAAGATAAATGTGCATTACAATGTGTAATGAGTTCAAAATTTCCTTTATCCCTTCAAAAACCAAATTTGTTTTCTTTCTATAGATATGCGGCAGTAACTATATCTGCAAATTCCTTACGCAAGCAACCCAGCCGAGTCGTTTGAGAGCCAGTCCCCTCATCCAGATCAACATGACAGAGGCAGCAACTAGGAGGCCAGTCATACTCTCCATCTATTACCCATTCTGAATAAGTACGAATCTACAAAAAAATGAGAAGATAAAAACAGATCAGGCCTGAAAGGGCCTTAGAATATTCCTAGTATATGTTACATTAATTTTCTAAAAGTATTAGATACGAATAGTCTAAAACAATTGTCAACAACCCCCTATCCCTACCACTTGAGCGAAGGTCAAGAGTCTGTTGTATCATATCTAGGCCTCCCATACCAACCTAAACCTGGCAAGATACTTAAGTACTTAAAGTGACCACAAAATGGTCAAACAAAGTCATACTCATATTCAATTAAAAGTTGCTTTATACTATTAACTGAACCATTACACCTTTAAATCATAGTAAACCTACATGTTAATATTTATTTTTCATATGAACTTCTTTTCATCTCTCTCTCTCTTCATTACACACAAGTAATAAATGTAAACCGAGTACAAACATGCATAACCAGATTGAGGTCAAACCCCATTATCCGCACGATTATGGTATGTCCAATTCCAGCCCTACGGCATGATTATAAAACGAGAACAATATTTCTCTATGGTTATCAATGAATCAACAATACAAACTGTTCACGCAACCTTAATATTACAATAATACAGAGTTGACCACAAAACATACGCCGGAAAAAGAAGAAAGAAATGCCTACCACGCATATTTGATGTTCGGGAGAACAGATACATTCTCCACAAACCGGAACCTTGTGCACGAAACAATACAGCTTGGTAGCCTGAAACACCAAAATCCCCAATCTCCATCAGCCTTGGAAATCAATCAACGAAAATAAATAAAAACCACAAGAAGGTATAGGAACTAGGATTTCAAGAATTGGATCACAATCATGAACTTGAACGACAAATCTGAAAATTCCCAAACTACAAGTCAAATGCCGATACTAAAACCAATTCACAATCTTATGGATCGCATTCGTTCCAACATTAGAAATCCGATCCGATCTAAAATTTGAGCTACAAAATCACGCATTTCTCTGTGAATTGAATCGGGAAATGATACAGTAAAATTCTACGACACCAGTTATCGTGTGAGAGAGAAGAGAGAGAGGTACCTTGCGGCATTTGCAGACCACCATTGCAGCACTGAGAGGGAACCTGAGTCGCTAGGGTTTACAATTGGGGAAGGTTTTTAGTGATCGTTGGAGGCCGGCGTTTCTTCCGTTGACGATTCTAACGAAACGCCCTCATCAGATTTGCGAAACTTTTCTCTCAGGCAGAGCAGAGCTCAGTGCTCACAGGCTCGCGCTAAACTCATACAAGAGATCCGTTTTCAGTTTTCCTTTATTTTCTTTTTCTTATTTTTTGCCTTAATTTGATAAATCAACTAACCACCCAACACAAAATCCAAAATCAACTTCGGTCAACTTTGCATCATTTGCATCACCGAGTGGTGGGCTTAGTAGTTGGGAACGAATTTTAAGTTCATATTTTACACGACATATTTTGGTTTTGATTTTTGGTATTGGTGAATTATATGATGATGGCTAGAGGGTTTGAAATGTCTTTTTGAATCTTCCAAGCTCCAAAATGGTGAATTGTAGGGGTAGGTTCGGTTAAATCGGTTCGGTTTTTTGCCAAAACCGAAACCAAACCGAAATTTCGGTTCGGTTCAATTTTTTTTCGGTTTTTTTCGGTTCGGTTTTTTTTCGGTTCGGTTTTTTCCGGTTCGGTTTCGGTTCGGTTTCGGTTTTTTGTTTTTATTTTTTTTCAAAAAATGAAAAACATTGAAATTTTAAATTTTAACATATCCAACACAATCATAACATAAACACTCTAACTAGAATCAAAGACAATGAAAATAAACATTTAAAGTTGAACTAAAATCATCAATCAAGTCTTTCAAAGTCCAAACTAACAACCTCACAACACAAAAATCACACAAAAATCGTACAAATGACTTAGAAAAGTTAAATTGTATGATGTTGTTCAAAGATCAGTGTTGTTTGCTTGTAACTACATGTTGACAACTTGATTAGTAAAGGTAATGCGTGGGTGGATTTATTTAGTGTGTGTTGGATTCTTTTCCATCACAAATTACCCAAGTAATCTACCCGAAATAAATGTTTATGGATTATGTTACATGTTATATGAGAGTAGATTTGGAAAAGAAAGCTGGCGCATAAGTAGACAGTGCTATGGAGATGGATGTAGGTACTTCGGGAAGAGGTTTGGTTCCGGAACCTTATATGGGAGAGAAATAATAGGTTAGGGTTTAGAGTTTTTATAGGCCTTTTTTTAATATTTTGAGCTTAAAGTTTGGCAACACATTGGGTTAGCACATTTTAACTTACAAATTGGGTTTAGAAAATAATACCCAAAACAAATAATTAAATAAAAAAATTAATTTAATTAATTCGGTTCGGTTCGGTTTGGTTCGGTTTCTACATCACTAAAACCGAACCGAACCAAAAGAATTCGGTTCGGTTCGGTTTTTTCAATTCGGTTCGGTTTTTTCGTTCGGTTCGGTTTTTTCGGTTTCGGTTCGGTTTGGTTTTCGGTTTTTTTCGGTTTTCGGTTTTTGAACCCACCCCTAGTGAATTGTAGTGGCAAACCCACTAGCTAGTTCCCTTAAAAAAAAAAAAAAAACTCTTATCCTAATTTGCTCCAACTCTTGGGATAAATATAAGTTAAACCTCAAAACTCATTTGCAAATTTAGGTCAGGTTCCCTTAGATTAGTGAGGCTGACCCACCATATATGTATATTTTTTTAGTTTTATATTTATAAATTCATTTGATCCAACAATTAAAATCTAATTTGATCAAATCCAACAGTAAAACAAATATTTAATGATCCAAATTTAAATCCAACAGCTAAAGTAATTAAAAAAATTATTTTATGTGTTTCATATTCTTTTGTAGTGTTCCACGAGTTTCATAGTGTCGGTTTAGTGATTTTTTAATATTTATCAAAATCTAAATATTTTTGAGTTAAAATGTTTATAAAATTAAATTAGGATAGTGTACATAATTTTATTTTTTTTTAAAAGTTACTTTAAGAAAAAAAAATTATCATAAATTCATTCTTTAATAATCTCGGGCTAAAAATTTAATCCAAAATGGTTGGAGGAGAAAAATTGTTTGTGAGTTAAAAATTTTAGGTTATAGCCCAAGGTTGGAGATGGTCTAAGAGAAAATTTTCAGTTCTAATTTGAGCCAGTTATAAACGTTAATAAAATTTATATTGTAATAAGTTATAATTTTATCAGCTCCTACGATTAATGTTAAAAAACTTGCTCGATATAATAATAATTGTACATAATACTAAAAATATGCAAGGTCACATAACAATTTAAAATGAAATAAAATATTTTTCAGGCGTTTGTGGTATAATGATTTATTATTTAGAGTTGTTATATTTTGAGCTTGTTGACAGGTATTAGCTCGTTAATATGGACAACTTGTTGTTCAAGTCAAAATATTTCTAAATTCTCAAGCATGTAATTTGTAGCTTCTTGGCATGAACCCTTTGGCATTCTTTACATTCATGCACTAGTTATATGAGGCTAGTTGTCTCCAACCTTGGAATTTGACATGTTCCACTATCGATGCAGTACTTTGCCATCCATACAAATTTCATTAAGGATAACTAAATAAAAATAATAATATGTCTTCAAGTCTTATAGCAATGTGCGAGTTTGATCATTCATGTGGTCAACCTGGTTTTTAATTAGAGTCTTAGAGTAAGTAGGTTGAGTTTATTGGATCTACTATGAAATTTTGTTTGAGATCATAGGTGCATTGGAGTTATGATGTCCTTTTTTGTACAACTTAGATAAAGCATGATGTTTTCCAATCTCGCAATTCGTTTGATTGCTTTTTATCTCTCACATGATCTTACAACATTAGATGCATTGGTTTTTATGAATACCCGGTTTCTTTCTTCTTGCTATATTTAAGACTACTATTTTTTTTAATTTCTTATATTTGTTTGTACGTACCCTCTAAAAGATTAACATTGGCTCTAGTGACTGAATACTGACCGAGATGATTGGGCATTTGAAAGATCCGTGTTGGTTCTAGTCGGGCTCTCGAAAAGATCTACTATCTCTGATATAATGACTTGACCAGTTTCCGATGTTGAATTAGCCCCATATAGGGCAACTCGTGAGAAGGTGTGTTGGAGAATAGAATCTCACATCGGGCATTTAACAAAAAATTATATAATTAATATATGAAAATTTTCACCCATAATATCAATGAGGCCTTTTAGGATTAAACCTATACATAGCGATATAGTTAAGTTGGGGACAATATCAATGATAGTGGTGGACCATGTTGGGCTATAAAGTTGATCAAATACTACTTGAGCAAGGACAAAACCTAGGGGTGGATGCCCCCACTCAATTTTCTTTGTTTTAGTTGAAAAAAAATGTTCATATTGCATATAGCAAACCCATATGATAGATGTGACAATCGCATTAACTTTTCCAGTTGCTACTATCACTGTTCAAAGAGTTTTTTGGCCTTGAAATTTATGAAGAATTGATTGAGAAATCCGATGGGATATCAATGAATGAATATAACTGTAGACATCGAAATTTTGGTAAATAAATGTTGACCGATAAATCAAAGTTTCAACGCTCATGTATTACATAAATTTTACACGTAGCATGTGACTCGACGAAAAATTGAAATGAGTCGGAAAAGTCATCAAACAGGACACATGTCAACACCTGGCAGAAACGACTTATTTCATCTGGAATATTATATTCAAAATTAGGCCTTGGAAAATTCTATAAATAGAAGCCAATTTCATTCATTTGGGGGGACGAATTCATATTACACCTTGAAGCTCTGAAGCTCTGAAACTCCGAAACTCTCAAGCATCTAGGTTCCCGAAGAATCAAGAAAGCCTTATTCATTCTTTGTTCATCGTTCTTCTAAGATCAAGCCCCGACGGCCCTTGGATCAACAATCATCCACCTTCAAGATCAAGCCCCGACGACTCATTTGAATAACTTCCACCAATTCAAGATCAAGCCCCAAAGGCCCTTGAAGAACTTCCACCAATTCCAGATCAAACCCCAAAAGCCCTTGAAAATCCGTTCATCACTGTCCTTCAAGATCAAGCCCAAAAGCCCCTTGAAGATCCGTTCATCACCGTTATTCAAGATCAAGCCTCAACGACCCTTGAAGAAACGTTCATCCTCAAGATCAAGCCCCAACGGCTCCTTGAAGATCCGCTCAAATCCACCTTCAAGATCAAGCCCACGGCCCTTGAAGAACGTTCATCCTTAGATCAAGCCCAACGACCCTTTGGATCAATCGCACATCCACAAATCAACACCTTACGGAGATCGAATCAGAGGATCAAATTTGAGAAAGATTGTAACCCAAAATCATCAAATACAAATATTATTTTGTGCACGTTGTTCTTGTCTCTTTCCTGAACCAGTCATGGACTACATCAACCGATGGCGTAATCTAAGCCTCGATTGTAGGGACAAGCTCTCCGAGATTTCTTCAATCGAGATGTGCATCCAGGGCATGCAATGGGGTTTACAATACATCCTTCAAGGTATTAAACCACAAACTTTTAAAGAATTAGCCACCCATGCCCACAACATGGAGCTGAGCATCGCCCACCATGGAAAGAATGAGCCAATCACCGATTTCAAAAGGGATAAGGTGTTTACTTCAAGAGCAGACAATCATGGGAAAAAGCCTACCAAGGAAGCTTTTACCACCAATACCACCCCTATCAAGACCTCGTCCACACCCGTCAAAATCTCCTTCAATAACAAAGCAAATGAGATAAAAAAAAGTGAGCCATCCCACACCCAAGATAGGTACAAAAACACCTTGAGGGAACTGGAGCAGAAGGTATACCCTTTTCCGGACTCCGACATGGACGCAATGCTGGACGACTTGCTAGAGAAAAAGGTGATTAAGTTACCCGAATGCAAACGCCCTAAAGAGATGAATCGCATCAATGATCCCAAGTACTGCAAGTACCATCGTATCGTGGGTCATCATGTGGGTAAGTGTTTCATCCTAAAAGAACTCATCATGAAGTTGGCACAACAAGGGCGGATTGAGCTCGACCTAGAAGACACAGCTGCAACGCACACCACTAAGATCGTGTTCGGATCCTTTGATCCTGTGCCTCTTCAAGAAATGCCTAACCATGCTCGGCAATACTCAAACCACACTGCACCTTCTGCACCACCGTCACTGGGGGCAAGCAACCAAGATGCACTTATTGACGATGACAAATGATGGACATTGGTGACCTATAAGAGGACGAGGAAACCGAGACGGAAAGCTATAAAGCCAAATGAGGGACAAGGGAGAAAGCACCGC